ACGCTGAGCAGGGCGATGACGGTGCCCTGTGGAGCGTCCTCTCTGATGGGCAAAGACAGCGAAGTTACGGACACGTCAGGGGCATTATCATTCATATCCAGGATATTCACCAGGACTGTGCAGTGTCCTCTCATTTGTGGAAGCCCCTTATCTACTGCTTCCACTAGGATTTCATAAGAAGTGATTTCTTCATAATCTAAATTCCCCTTTAGTCTTATCTCTCCAGTATTCAAAATGATGGTGAATATTTCTGTTATCCTGGAAGAAACATCATTGCTAAAATGATAGGTAATCTCTTGGTTGGGACCTTCATCCACATCTGAAGCATTTAACGTTATCACAGATGTCCAATTAATGGCGTTTTCCCGAAGATTTACTTCATACACCAATTGCTGAAACTCAGGAGCGTTGTCATTGACGTCTAGTACCTTGATAAGCAGTTTAACGCTGCCTGTGAGTTCAGGTTTGCCTCCATCTGTGGCTGTCAGTAGCAACGCGTGCTCACGGATTTCTTCTCTGTCTAAGGATTTCTTTAATACAAGTACTATCAATTTATTCTGATCGCTTTTCGAAATTACGTTCAGTGAAAAGTAATCACTGGGAGTGAGCCTGTAGGTTAGAACAGCATTTGCGCCGATGTCCGAGTCCGTCGCGCCCTCTAGTGGAAACCGAGAGTCAGGCAGCCTAGATTCTGAAATGGACACTGTTTTCTGTGACCACGGAAACACGGGCGGGTGGTCGTTAATGTCCTTCACCTCCACCTCCACATGGAAAACCTGCAGCGGCTGCTCCACGATCACCTCCAGGTGGATGCCGCACGCCGCGCTCCGCCCGCACAGCTCCTCGCGGTCGATCCGAGAATTCACAAACAAAATGCCATTCTGCAGATTCACCTCCAGAAGGTCCCCGCGGCCCTTGGACGCCACGCGGAACAGGCGCGGCACCAGCTCCGCCAGCTCCAGTCCCAGGTCCTGCGCGATGCGGCCCACGAAGGTGCCGTGCTTGGCCTCCTCGGGAACCGAGTAGTGGAGCTGCCCGCTGCCCACCTCCCAGGTTGCAAAGAGAAGCGAGAGCAGCAGGCGCCGGGCTCCCGGGCCTTTCCTGAAAGACGTTACCATAGCATCCGTTGTGAGGCTCCGATATGCAAACTGGTCGATTATTTGATAAAACACAAAAATCTTGTTCTACATGCGCCTCATACTCTGAACAACAATGGCCGGCGTTGACATGAGACTCCGCCCCCTGTTTTGTGAATCTCTGACAGCCCTGGTAAAAGGATTTTGAGCGAAGAGAGACCTCAAGTGTCTAAATGTAGAAATGCAGCATTTACCTTCAGTAAACAGTTTCATTTCTTCAAATACTAAAATCCTTCCTTTTGTTGTGGTTGAATTTATCGAATCAATTGAAATCCAAAATTTCTCCAAATGATTATCATCACCACAAACAATCCTTTGATGGAATACAATTCTGTATTCTAAAGTTACATATTTTACTTATTTATAGCACGGTTTACTGGCTACGGAACTCCATCCTAGGAATAAGCTTCCTCAAAAAGTAACTTTGAACTTCAAATTCCTATAGCTTAGGAACTCATATATTATAGCGTGTTTCTTATCAACCTTAACTATCTGCAACAAAAATACATATAATCCACCACAGTAATTATTTTAAAACCTGGAAAGGTTATTTAAAGTTGACAGATGATCACATGGATTTAAATGCATGACAGTTGTTTCAAATCACATGCATATAATCTTGCAGAATGTTAATATTTCTTCAAATTGCTTTGAAAATACCGAGATCATTAAATAATTTCTTAATTTACACGTGGACAATGAAAATGGAAAAAGATTGTTCCATATTTTGATATATTTTAATAGGATTTCAAAAATTTTAGGCCATAATAGTGGAAACAAAAAACTAAAACATTTGGTAAATGCCTTAAATTTTCACTAATAAACCGAATATGAGTTTCATATTATGACATTCCATCATAAAAATCAGGAAGTTTTACTTGACTGTCTACAGAGATTATTGTGACTGATATTGTGACTGACATTTACCCCCAAATAAATGCCAGTCTTTTTGTCTAGTTTTACTGCTATATTAGAGGACAGTGATGCTTCCATGACAGAGTTCAAGACTTCTACCCGAAGACTTGGTTCAATCCCCAGGAAGTGCACTTCAAGAACAACCACATGTGAATAGAGGATAGCATGTGAGTATGAAACTGATCAAGTTTCAATAAAGCTTCCAAGTCAGTCAATGGTCCCAATCCCACTGCACATGAGGTTGACTTGAGTTGGGGTGACTAAACAACAACTAGCAATAACCCTGATTTTAAAAAATTATTGGGAGCTCTTATAGATATTAAAACACTCTGTAATTCAATTAGATCAAGCATAATTGTACAACTACTGCCACCATCAGTTTTAAAACATTTTATTTCTTCTTGAACTCTTTGATATCAGCTCCCCTTTATCCCCTCCCTTCCCCCACCTACCCCCCAGGAACCCTTCATATATATATATCTGATATCTGTTCCCCTCGAGTGTAGTTATAGAATCATCATTGCCATCCGTCCCCACCCCCACTCCCCTGCCAGCTCTCTTCCCATCCCCTCAGGGAATCATTACTCCCATTACTATTTCTGAAGGGTTTATCTATCTTTGATTTCATGTGTCGAATGACCTTAATTATACAAATGAACATACACAAATGAACATTCACAGGTAACCCTGCTTTTTTTAGATGGACTTTGATTGGTAACAGATTGGCTACATTTGAAACTGAAATATCAACATATTTTTCCACCCATAAAATCTTACTTAAAATAAGAAAAATTATTAAAAATATATAAACATGCTTCACAATAGCATTATTTGCATGGTCTGAATATATTATGTGTAATGTGTATATATATGGTGAAAATTCTTCTTTAAAAAAAAACCTATGATTTTTCTTCATGTTAGAACCTGTACCCGGTATTATTTTACAAGTAACACTTATACAACAATATTGAACAAGTAAAAAACCATAATAGGTGAACTCGTGTTCCAAGTAATGTTGATTCCAGAGGAAATGGAGTTGGTTTTTGGTTGATAACAATAGTGTTCCTCATTAGGAACAATCAAGGTCTAAAATTATATAGTAATATATAGTGAAACCACAAAATGTGAGCTATGTTAAATAGATATATTTTCAGAATTTTTATTTAAGTCTTGTTAATATTTTAATTTTAAAGTGCTCTTTGAACTACCCCTTCAAATCATTTGAGTTCATGACTCACAAATTCAAGAGCTTGCATCTCTCACATATTCAGCAGCATCTGAGTTCAGTTCTGTGTAATGAATAGTGGACACCCATTTCATGGAACCTGTGTTAGACAGCGTTCTCTAGAGAGATAAAACCAAATTGCTGATAATTTAATGTATTTATTTATAAAGATAATTAGATATATAACAAGAAATGAACTGTGAAATCATATACAGATAAATATATAATACAAGAAATGAACAGTTAAATTATAAAGCAGTACAAATGGCTCAGTGCGACTCACTCCCATGACAGAGTTGTGAGACACTAGCAGTCCTTCAAGTCTAGTCTGTTGCCAGGTTTTCCTCTAGATAGAGAGAGCTAGGTTATCTCAGCACAGCAGCCAACCACAAGGCAGGTCCCCAACTGCCAGCCAGGTCACCAACCGCCAGTCCCCAGCTCCAGAGATGTCTTAAAGGGACCTCCACTTACAGCAACACAGTTCACAGGCTAGACATCCCACAGATAGTGTAGTCTGCAAATTGAGGCACAGAACAAGCAAGGTAGCCGGACACTGGTCCGATGATCAAAAAGCGAGAGACAAGAAAGGCGAGGCTTACTGAGCCATTTATCTCACTGCCCTTCAGTTAATCCCACTTGTGTTTATCGGCCAGGCTGCCATAATAAACTATCTCAGAACCCAAAAGAGAATCACTGAGACCTATTATAATAAAAATTTCCCAAACCAAAGACTAAGAAAGAATCGTGAGAAAAGATAAAGAAAATTGCCAAACAAGAAATTGTATATCCAGAAAAAGTGTCCCTCAAATATGATGGTGAAATATGGCATTTCCAGAAGAGCAGAATTTAAGGGAATTTCTAAAAACAAGACCAACCTTACATAATACATGTGGTAGTTATATAATTGTTTGTCAATTTGAGAGGATAAAGAATCAAGGGGTAGAGTCTAATCTGTCAATTGAATCATAGCCAATGAGGCCTCTATGTGGGCATGGCCTTCTCCTGAGGATTCTGGGAATTCCTATCTTCCTCCTTGGAGGCGGGAGACACTCTCTCTCTCGGCTCATCCCTGGGAGACATTGCAGCTGACAAGACACATGGAACTATGCTACTGCCCTGGGCTGGAGGAACCGTGTGGAGACTCCTGCCAGCACTGAGATGCTTACAGCACCACTGGATCCGCAAGACTTCCTACCCACTGGCCTGTGATCTTCCTATATTCAGTGTCATTGTATGTGTTTCATGAGTCTGAAGATGACTTTTTAGATTAGTATTGGACATATGGGCTAATATCGGACTTATGAACTTGATCTGGATTGAGCTGGGATGTTTTCTTAATGTACAATTACTCTTTAATTAAAACTCTTTCTTATACACATATGAGTATCTATGAATTTGTTTCTCTAGTCTACGCTGACTAACATAATATATTAAAGGGAATTCTTCAGACAGGAAAACAACAAAGGTTGACAACCTGTGTTATCACAAATGACAACATCATTCATTTGTTTGACGATATCACCTAGAAAGCAAAACACATGTAGGAGAATCCAAAGTAAAATAAGCCTATGACACTGGATATAGGATATAGGGAACCAGAAACATTCATTTGTAAATGAGAACAAGTAGAAAGCAAAAATAGGAAACAGATAATGTAGTTATAGGCCTTCCAAATGGAGAGGAGGCCAAGATGATTTCAAGGTAGAATAGACTATTTCAAAGTTAGGGGAAAACAATAAATTACAATGCAACTTCAAAAAATTAATAAACCGTATCAAAATCAAAGAGAAAAACACGAAGGTTTAGTAAAGCTAAAATATACAGCAAAAATTATAAGAAAATTCAGAACCAAAACAAATCCAGTACAGAAAATTACATGGGATCAAGAAGTCAGCAGCACCATTAAATTACAAGAAAATATGACCCAGCAATATTTTGCCTATGAGATGTACCTTAGACGAAAATAGACTAAAATCAAGGGTGAGGAGAGAATCAAGCAAAGGGCAACTAAGAAAGAGCAGGAGTGACAATATTAATTTCTGATAAAATAGACTTTAAGACAAAAATTTTATTTAATGCCTAAAGGATAATCAACAAAAGAACATAGCCACAATAAATATCTATGCACCCAAAGAGAGAGCCCCTAATTACACAATAAAAATTCAACAGAATTGAAAAGAGAAATAATTATACAATGATAGTAGAAAATTTTAATAAGCTTATGATGAAAGCCAAACACCTAGAAAGAAACCCAACAAAGGCACAGAAGAACTAGACAATACAATCAACAAACAGGACCCCATAGACATATACAGAACACTCTGCTCAACAACAGCACAATAAGCACTATTTTTGGAGCACACAAATATATTCTCCAGGTAGGTCATATGTTAGGAAATAAAGCAAGCTTCAGAAAAATGGAAAACATCAAAACACCAGAAAGCATCATCTCTGATCACATTGCTATAAAATTAGAGATGAAAAATAGGAAGATCAAAGGAAAAACAAAATACATAGAAACGGAGTTAACATCTTGCTTAAACAAACAACTGAGTAATACAAGAAATAAGAAATGAGATGCAAGCCTTGAAACATAAGAGTAAAACGCAGCATACCAAAATCTTCGGAGGCACAACAAAAGCAGTGCTCAAAGGACAATGTATAGCAATAAATATAAATACATAAAAGAAACAACCAAATCAACACATTAGTCCACCATCCCCAACAAAGCAAACAAAACAAAACAAGGGCAAGAAAATAAGCCAACCATCAATAGAAGAAACAAAATAGTAAGGATTAGAGCAGCAACAAATAAAACAGAAAAACAGAAAGGATCAAGTAG